CCCCAAAACCCCAAAACCCCAAAACCCCAAAACCCCAGTTGGAGAAAATATTATTGAATAGTTTATATAAGAATGTCTACAGGTTTTTGCCCAAAAGTATACTTATTCTTGGTGGAGAAATACTCCACCTCAATTAAAAGCCCTGGGTGCATATGTCTAAATTCCTTCAAATAATCACATATTTCCGGATCAAGGAACGGGCTCTGGTCTAGGTTGCCAAGTCTGATGTGGTTGTCAGTAACCGACACATCTTTTTGAGAAGTTTGGGTCTAGAAATATTACACACATAATTTACATCAAAATCCCCTGATTTCTTCCTCCGGTGTCTAGATTTACATATAATTTTGAGGTGCTTTAAGGCGAATTGATTGCGTAATGAGACGAGAAGGTCCAGGATCCACTCTGGTTTGGGGATACAGATACAAAGCTCCTCTAAACTTCTTGTTTTTCTACAAGATTACGCACAAATTTACCATTTTGATATGCACTTCAAAAGATGCTTGAAAACAATACTTCTTGACTTCTTTGGGCCTCTCCTAGTGTGCAAACACTGTTGAATATCTAGTTTAGTAAGCCGAATCTGCTGATAAGATTAGCAAAAATTACCGTATTATCATTGGTCCCGAAAATAGTGTTGAAAAACCTAGAGTTTACTAATAAATTTACTTTCACAAAATCCTTGAGTAATCTCAAAGCTATAAAATTTATCAAAGAGAATTACACTTCCAAAAAGAGCTGCCATATTCATCTGACCATCAGCCTGGCTGCTTTCACCAATCTTGATCTCGAGTTTAGGAGCTAATGATCGGCCCATGTCTGGGTTTGAGGAATCCAAGCTAATTTTGGGCTGCTCTGGGCCTCTACAAGGCATCTCTCCAATATTTTCAGGTTGACTAAGATGCTCTAACTCAGACATAAATCGGTCGAAATATGCTACAAATTATGAATCCCACTTACCATAAGGAAGACAGTCATTCTTATCAAAATTTGAGTTATACTGCACAGTCACATTACGGTCATTAATCTGGTACACGAAGAACTCATTTGGGATTTTAGAAGCAAGAGGAACAATTATAGCATCCTCACAGTCTGAACAAAGAGAGCTAATCTCCTGATAGGTTTTGTTGACTGAGACTCCTTCTAGAGCTTCAAAGCCTGTAAAATCAGCTTCGAAGTTATCAAAAGTCACTAAGTAGCCGTCTATCTGGCAAATATTATCCTTTGGCACTAAAAGGTCAAGTGTCTTTGAACTGGCTAGCTCCCATTTTGACTTCTTGAAGTAAAAGATTGGGTCTGTTAGTCTTACTGAACTTCACCCTAACGAGTGCTGGAACTATAAAATAGTCAAAATCCTTACCTTTTCTTTGCCATCAGCTATCTTGACTACTTTTGCAAGCTCCAAGCTTTCGAGAGAATCGTGTTTAACAGGCTCTCGGACTTTTAAATCCTCAAGAAACCCATTCCTTAGAGAGAATTTTTTAGGAATATTCATGACTCCTGGACCGAACCTGAACGTCGATCTTGAGATTACCACTTTTGTTGGGTCTCTCATAAAAGATTCAGCCTTGTCACCATAGATCTGAATGTTCTCTAATATTTCTCAAAATTGTTGGTATCCTTCTTCATCTGCTTCATCAACTCAAGCAATCTTGAAATTAAAATAAAACTGCATGCGGAGGTCCAACAATTTTGCAAGTTTAATATTACTCCTAAAAATAGGTACTCGAGCACATGGACAAGACTGATTCAAGATGCATTGGGGATGCCTCCTTAACCTCTTATGAGCTATATCGAGAGCTTTCACCTCGACCAAAGGTTTGTAGACCTTCTCTGAGAATGCAGTAAAACAGAAATTATCTTCATGCTCGTACCAAAAAGTATGGCTTTCTCTACTAAGAAGGTGGCAAAGCTCAGCGATCTGGGGAAGTGTGCCATAATATTTAAAGATGTTCCTGAAGAGTTTCTGTGTGAACATAAATCCAGCTAGGTCTCTTCGCAGATCAAAAGATCTGCTCTCCGATGAGTACTCTGTACTCTCTTGTTGCAATTCCATTTACTAGTAAAATCTATTAAATTTAACTTCTCGGGGTTTTGGGGTTTTGGGGTTTTGGGGTTTTGGGGTTTTGGGG